CTAGACTATTTAATACCGTATTTTAAACATATATATTTGCCCACGTGGACATAAAAAATAATGCAAAATTATAAATAGTAATGTGTCCACGTGGGCACATATATACCTTTAAAATACACTATTAAATAGTTCAGGAGGTAAAAAATACGGTATTAAATAGTCTAGGGAGGTAATTAGTCCTCATGAAAGTTTAGTATCGCAACAGCAAATTCGACCAAAGTTGGGGTATTTTTCAGACCCTTATCCTTTGTATTAATCTGTGATATATAGGTAGCAGTCATTTTCAACTTTGCCACAAATTATTTTATTTGTTTGTAAATCGCACCTAAAATTTGCTTAATGCACTTTAGATTGTAATATTTGTCAATTATTATCAGCATAATCATACTCTTAACGGTTTAATTTAAAATATAATTGTTAAAATCATTTAAAAGCCCAAAGCTTCTTGTAAAAGTCAAAGGGCTATAAAATATATTTTTTGTTAAAAGTTAATCATTGCAACTCACTAAAGACAAAGTTCCACAATCAAATTTAATTTTCGGTCTTGTCACAAATTATTTATTTGTTTGTATATCACACCTAAAATTTGTTAAATGTTGTTTAGATTGTAATTTTTGTCTACTTTTATTATCGGCCTAATCATACGCCTAATGGTTCAATTAAAAATAATAATTATTGAAATCATTTAAAAGCCTAGACCACATTTGTTTTCTTTAAGATTTAAACATTTGAATCTGAATGCACATCTAATTAATAAGATATTGTCTTTAGATTTGAACATGAAATAACTAAAACTATTTATTTTTTAACATCTGAATGTAAATAATTTATCTATATGTACATAACAGATATATAATTCAAATAAAATTAATTAAATATTAAATAATAAAATTAAATTATTATTTGATTAAAAGAAATGAAACACTTATACTTGCTAGTGGGGTGGAAATAGTTTGTAGTGATGGTGGTAATGGTAATGACTATTGTTAGTAGCTAGTAATGATGGTAGTGATGGTTATGACGATAGAGATGATTGATATTCTGGTGACTAACATAATACTTCCTCTGTCTCATTTTATGTGAGGTAGTTTGACTCGGCACGAAATTTAAGAAAGAAAGACTTTTAAAACTTGTGGTCCAAAATGAATGATAAAAATTTGTGTGACTGTAAATCATTTCATTAAGGGTAAAATAGATATTTTATAGTTAAGTTGTTACTTAATATAGAAATATGTCATTCCTTTTGGGACTGACTAAAAAGGAAAGTAAGTCACATAAATTGGGACAGAGGGAGTAATAAATATTATTTTATCAGTATGCTAAATTAATACTCCTTCTGTCCTTAATTACTTGTCCAATTTTCCTTTTTTACTTGTCCATTTTGACAAATCAAGAAAGTATAATTCTTTTAATCTATTATACTCTCAATTAATTACTTTGAAAAAGATAGAACTTTTTGAAAATTCTAAATTTTTAATTCATCCACTGAATAATTAATAGGGGTAAAATGGTAAACTTACTATGTCAATCATTATTCTCTTAAGGAAAAATTGTATGAAATAGCAAACTATTAATTCAAATTAAATGTTATAGTCATAGTTTATTTTATTTGTAATTCGTAGCAAACATTCCATTTTTTTGCCATCTGATTCGGTATACAAATGTATAAAATGTGTTTGTGTTTGTATAAAGTGAGAGAAAAATGTATATACAAATACAAATACATATATTTTCGTCCTATACACTTATAATTATATAAATATAGATCTTATTATACAAATTACAATGTATAAATTTCAAAACTTAACAATTTGTATAAAATTGGATGCATCTAGCGAATTATACAACTCAAAAGCTCCATAGCAAATATAAAATTTGCTATGGAGCACAATTATGGAAACTATAGTTATAACATACAAATATGATTTTATGTTTGCTATATGTGAAAGTTGCTCTACTTTAACTATCAAATATGTATATTATAAATTACCATCAATATGCATCTAGCGAATTATACAACTCAAAAGCTCCATAGCAAATATAAAATTTGCTATGGAGCGCAATTATGCAAATTATAACTATAACATACAAATATGATTTTTATGTTTGCTATATGTAAAAGTTATTCTTTTCTTAATAGATGTGTCAATTTAAAAATAGATAAATAATAAGGAATATAAGTAACGAATAAATACAAGTAGATAGAGGAAGTACTAATATCTAGGGAGAAAAATATCTATCATGTCGACTCACTATAAGCACAACCCACCCTCTTTGTCTCTCACATCCGCATGACAAAATAAGAATATAAAATGACAAGTGCCATATTTTTAATTCCAAAAATATTCAAACAACGCTTCATATTATTCCACATTCCACCATGTTATTGGCCAAATATCACATCGATAAACAAGACGCACTCAGAGTATTTTTATTATTATTTAGAAAAAGAGATAATGTTAGAAAGATTTTGGATAATATGTAAATGTATTTTTTAAACTCAGATTCAATTGATATTTATGACATCTAATTTTAGATGTGTAAAATAGACACTTAAATTTATACTATAAAATTGAATAAGTAAATATACACGTATATTTCTTTTTGTCATATTTGTCATTTGTAAGCTCATTGATCTCAATTTAATGATATATTTTTATAATATCTTTTTTTCATAATTATTAAAACAAAAGTAAAAATTAATTTTATTTTAATTTCTAAAATAATAATATTTTGAACAAATTATTTTAAATAACTATGAAAAGTAAATAGGTCGGAGGGAGTGCAACATATTTTTTTATTTTATCTCTCAAGTATACAACAAATTTATTATTTTATCTCTCAAGTATATAAGGTATTTTTTTTTTTATTTCTCAAGTAGTTCTTATATTCACTTTTACTTGTTCATTATACTAAAATCATGTTAATTCGTCAACTTTAACATATCAAAAGTGAAAAAAAAACCATGTTTACTCTCAACATTAACTAGAATTTTCTGTGATTTTTAAAGTCTATTTTAATGGACTTATATAATTTATGGCTTATAAATCAAAAGTCATAAATTTAAAGTTTTAACTTATGACTTGTTTTTATTATTTTAATTTAAAATATTTGTTTACTCTACCTAAATATTGAAAATCGATTAAAAACTATATTGACTTGAAAAACATAATATAAGTCAATTCAAATAAGCTCTTAAAATGCTGATGATCATAGATATTAGAACAAACTATGTAGTTTATTTATTTTTAAAAGATATAGTTTATTATGAACAAGTAATACTGAACAGACGAGGAAGTAACTAATAATTGATATACACTCTTATATACAAATGTTTGTAGTTATCAAAATGTGTTTGTTATTGTGTAAAAATTTTGTAGGTCCTATCTAGTCATATATTTTATTAAATATAAAATTTATTTTAATTTTTGGAATCTAAAAAATTAAATTTATTTTTGACGTAAAATACAATCATTAATTTCTTTTTAAATATTAAAATTATCCTCAAACTTTTATTTATATTCCATATATATAAAAAAAGTTTCATTTATTACTTTAGATTTGTTTAATTTGATTCGTAAAATAGAAATGAGTCGAAGATATCGAATCTGTGTAGTTCAAATAGTATAGACTATAGAGTAAGAAAGACACTTGTCATCTCCAATAATAAACCTTGACGAGGCGAAGAAATAGGAAGCAACCACGCTTACTCTTTTGCTCCTTGCCAAACTCGTACCTGCCAAAACGGGTAAACTTATTTTCTCTCTTCTCCCATTTTTACATTTTTTTTTTCCTTGAATTTTCACATTTTATTATCTCATGTCCTTGAAAACTGGCAATGAAAAATCTTCACTTTTTTCTTGATTTTGTTGATGTTTTCTCAATTACAAATATCGTACTAGTGATCTGAACTTGCTTTTTTTTCTCTTTTCGAAATGATTTATCAAAATGAGATAGGACTAGTTTGAAGTGTAGTTGATTGATTAATTGATTTCATGATGTTTTTGGGACCTGAAATGATCTCGAAGAAGGTTATAGATCCATGATTTGTTTTGTTTATGAACTCTATGATTCTGTATAGTGGAAGGTACTCGATGAATGAGTTCGATTACTTAATTAGACAATTGAATGAAGTTTTGATCTGGGTATAAAGTTTTAGATCCAAATATGTTGATGTTGAATGAAATTATGAGCTTGAAGAAAGTTAATAGATCCACGCTGTTGACTGTTTTCAGTTTCTTTTATTTTGTGGAATTTACTTGAATAGTTGACTCTGGATGAGTAGTTGATACTTGAATGAAGTTTATCTAAGCTTCTGGGTGTTGTATTTTGGATCCAATCTTCATAAACAGTAAGTGTTTTGCATTTGAATGAATTTTTGGACTTGAAATGAGTTTGAAGCAAAGATGGATCTAGGGTGTAACGAGGGGTTCACCCGTATCCCCTACACAATTAGGTATTTAAAAAAAAATATTTATGTGTGTATATAGATTTTAGATCTCCGAACATAAGATTAAACATTGGCTAAGTGGTTGAGGAATTCAAAATTTACCTTGAAGTTCAGTTTAAAGATCATACAATACATTTTTATTTTTCGAACCCCCTTAGTCAAAATCATGGATCCGTCACGGGTTTGAAGAAGGTTAATTGGTGCTAATTTTTTTAAATCTGAATGTGTACCAAAGGTCCTGGACTGAATCAGACCATTAAATATTCATCTAGTTGTATTTCATTTTCTCCATCATTGAGGTATCATAATCTGGTGTTTAACCGAGACCTGCCTGATCATGATATTTCAGTTTTTCTGAGCTGTAATGAGCAAGATCTTAAATGTTGTATCTTTCTTTACTGTCCTAATGCCCTTAAGTGATCATCTTCAAGTTGGCAATGAAGATTATATGTTTGAGCTTGTGCGTAATCACCAATGTTGTGGCATTTTGTTAGGATATATGAATGATTAAATTCTTTGGAGGTGGTATACAATATTTGTTTATTGGTGAACATTCTAATATATCTTCTTCGACTTCACCAAAATATAAAAATTGATTCCCATGGTCAACTTCTACTGTTATTTCTTAGTGTCTTACTACTGAACTTTTGGATCAGATTTTCCTTGTCATAACCATGGGATCTTACCTGAACTTCAAGAACTTTGCTGACACATCACAACCAGAGAGCAGTGGGAATAATAGTAATTTTTCATTGGCCCGACAATCTTCCATATACTCGTTTACCTTTGATGAGCTGCAAAGTACCTGTGGACTTGGAAAAGATTTTGGATCGATGAATATGGATGACCTCTTGAAGAACATTGAAGAGTCTCAAGCGTTTCCATCTTCTGCTGCTGCAGGGGGTAATTTGCAGAGACAGGGTTCTTTGACACTGCCTAGGACACTTAGTCAGAGAACTGTAGATGAAGTATGGAAAGACTTTCAGAAAGAGAGTGTTATTGCTAATGATGTAAGTGGGACTGGAGGATCAAACTTTGGGCAGAGGGAATCTACTTTGGGAGAAATGACATTAGAAGAGTTTTTGGTTAGAGCAGGGGCGGTGCGAGAAGATATGCAACCAGCTGGATACTCAAATGATGTTACATTCGCTAGTGGTTTCACTCAACCTAGTAGTAGTGTGACCATAGCATTTCAACAAGCAACCCAAAACCCTGGACATCAAATTGCAGGGAATAACATATTCAATGTGGTCAGTACCACCACGTCTTCAACACAGCAGCCTCTTTTTCCCAAACAAACAACTGTGGAATTTGCATCACCCTTGCAATTAGGAGGGAGCCCAGGGACAAGGCCTCCCATGTCTAATCCGTCTGCAAATACTAGTAGTGTCATGCAGGGTGGTGTTATGACCATGCCAGTAAAAGGAGTATCCCCTGGAAATATTGATACATCTTCTCTTTCACCTTCACCTTATGCATGTGGTGAAGGTGGAAGAGGAAGGAGATCATGCACCTCTTTTGAAAAAGTTGTTGAGAGAAGGCGTAAGAGGATGATAAAGAACAGGGAGTCTGCGGCCAGATCAAGGGATCGGAAACAGGTGAATTCATATTTTGAAGTTTGGTTTATGAGTTAATTCTTTTGTTTCTGATTCTTAAGGCCTGTGCCCTTTTTTTCTGGTTTCCTTTGTTTTTTAAAATCTATCACTCTGGTCAACAAATTACTCATTCAACTGAGTGACACAGAAATGAATTAGCAGTTGGCAGAGTTTCTCACACCTCCTTTTCTCCTTACTTTAGACCTTGGAATGCATCTCTTTCAATAATTTGCCCACGAAAATGAATAAGAGAAAGAAATTTATAGGGTGGGGTCCATGGATCTATAGATTACCTGGTAAAGCAAAGTAATTATCAAGTTACCAGGGAGACTCTTGGAGAAGTGTATGTGCTGTTAGCTACAACTTTAAGTTTAAACCTTGAGCATGATTGGGGGGGGGGGGGTTTCGGGGTG